ATTTTAAAACAAAGGCAGAACAAATATGAATTTTCTCTTGTTTTTCCATCATCACTGAAAAAGGGCTTTATATTGCTCCAGCGAAAGAGTACATTTTGCAGGTCTGGATGAGTTTTCCCTCCCAGTTTGTGTCTTCTGTAATAATGTAGACACAACGTTAAGCACAATGTTTAAGGTAAAGGGTTTAGCTGAGCGATAGAACACATGTAGGATCTGGGGAAAAATCCTGCATGAGGAGGGGGCAGGATCTGTTCTCGATGACCCCAGAGTGCCATACACATAACAATGGGATCAAGCCACAGGAAGTCAGATTTAGGCTGAGACACATAACAATGGGATCAAGCCACAGCAAGTCAGATTATGCTGAAGATCGGGGGGGGGGAATTCATAACTCTTAGGGCAGTACAACAACGGAACCCATGACCTCAATGGAGGGTGAGTGCTCCAACGCTGAAGTCATTCAAGAGAAAATTGGACAATCACATGACAGATATATTTTGATTTGTATTTCTGCCTTGAGCAGGGGGTTGGACTTGATGGCCTTACAGGCCCCTTCCAACTCCAGGATTCTATGCTTTGAGCTTCACTTACTCATCTAGAAAATGTTTTTCCTCATCTGTAGCACACAAAAAAATACGTTGGGTAATCCTTTTTTGCTAGTGTCACTCTGAACAGGCATTTAAAACAAAAAGCAGGCAAGATTGCTTGCAGTCCCCTAGATGAGGTGGAGCAAGCACATTGTCTTCCCGTGCGTCAGGGGCTGTTTCCCCAGTTGCGTAATTGTTTGCTGAAGGGAAAAGTGTCCTATGAGACTGACAACGCGGTGGTGACACTGCAGTTGTGACTTTATTTTGCAGATAGGAAGGGCTGCCCAAATGACACACTGTGGGGCAAAAGGGACTCCTCCAAACAAGGCGTCCGTTGTGAGTGTACTGCGGCAAAGCAACCCTAACAACAGCATATTCAAATGAAATCCTCCTGCATGTACAAAGAAGAAGACCGAACAAAGAAACAAACAGGAACACACATAGTACTCTCTCTTTCTTTCTTCCGAGAAAGCTGGCCGAGGCCATGGATTAATTCATGGAAACCTGAATTCAGAAGGGGCCCATAAAGCCATTGAATCCAACTCCCTGCTCAAGGAAACAACAAGGAAAACCTACCCACTCCCTTGTTTTTAACGGCTGGTCGTTTGGTATGTTACACATGATCTCCTATAGTTTAATTAACCACTTGGCACAGGGAAAACTTCAGAGAGCAACTGCAGTGTTTCTCATGTGCCGACATTGATTGCCTTCGGCCACAGCAAGCGCCACGGGCACCGTGTGTGTTTCTAGAACCATACGTGATTTCCCAGAGACTTCTGAATATCATCTCCAGACTGGAAAAGGCAACCAGCACGGAGGACAAAGCAAAAAACCACTGAAAAAAAAATACTTTCTGGGTGAAATTCTGAGCATCATTTAACCACCGCTTGGTTAGTCCTTGTTTATTTACGTCTTGAACAGTTTGAAACAAACAGCCTGTAGAAATGAAAAGTAAATACGCCTTCTTTCCAAAGGAAAGAGTAATAGTTATGATACATTATTGCAAGGGGAACAAGGAACAACCTGGTGAGGGATAATGCAAGTTTGGAGCCCAATAAGTACTGTATTTAGAGGGCCACGGCTTCTTAGATCTCCATTAAAAGCTCACAAACTTCTTTAACAGCCTATTTTGTGGACTAAAGCCCATTTCATCAGAGGAAATGAGCAACAAATTTGTAAAGCAAGGGCTACAGCATATGTGGACACCTACCTAAAAGAAGGGGAGTTATTTTGTGAGTTAATCCTTTCCCATTTATGTGCCCTTTCCCATTATGCGTTGTTGAGTCAGATCTACACATGAATTCTACCTTGGGATGTTCACTTTGAAACTTTCAGCTCACCGATTACAGCTTTTACTTCCTTCCCTTTTTTCTTGTGGATAGTCAAAGCTCTAATTCTCTTCTTTTTAATATTGGGAGCTGCCTTGGCTCTCCTGATTGGGAGAAAGGTGGCCAAAACAAACAAACAAACAAAACAAACAAACAGAGGTCTTGTTCTCTCTCAGGCTACTGCTCTTCTCATCCGATGAAACGGGCTTCGGTCCACAAAAGATCAAACTGTCTCTAGAAGCAAAAGGGACTTAACTAAAGCTGTCTTTAGTGACTTTTGCTTCTCAAGATAGTTAAAAGTTGATTTGCTCTAGCTAGCAGATCACAGCGCGAGCCAGCTTTTCCTCTAAGTGATGATGACTTGTAGATTGTTGCCCTTAAAGACACTTCATCCTTACACCCACTGTCCCCTTCTTTAACTAAGCAGTTTTGGTCCCATGCTATCCTTCGTCTGCGAGGAATGGCCCCCACTGCGGCCACCAGCCCAGAGAGAAGCCAGCTCTTGGGGAGCTTCTGTACTGAAACCCAGCCTTTATACTTTTTCATCCGGAGTGGATTTCTTGGAATAATAAACCTACATTTTACCTTTACCTTCCCACTGAGCATTCTGGGTGATTACTCCCCATAAACAGCCATAAACTCACTGAACTACCATGGCATACACTGTTTACAGATTCACCAAGCCACAAACTCTTGCATTTAGAAGGACTAACTTTGGAGGGTTTTTTATCTCCCTAAGATGGCCCTCCACAACAGAAAACTCTCCACATGCCTCCTGCTTTTCCAGAATGATCTCCTTTAGGCAATGGTATAAGATTGCAGCCCCGGGGGAGCCAGTTCAGGGAAAAGAGGAAGCAAAGAGCATAACCTGGCTCACCTTTCCCTCGGAACTGTCACGCCAGAGAGGTGTGTGTCACCTCTCTTGTGCGCACAGCACACGTGCAAACAGATCCAGTCATAAGCGACCAGCATGAATTTGACCCAACTCCGGGAGGCAGTGGAAGACAGGAGGGTCTGCCGTGCTCTGGTCTGTGGGGTCACAAAGAGTCAGACATGACTTAACAACTAAACAACAACAACAACAACAAAAACTGGAATGCACCAAAGAATTTTGAGATTACAGCAAAACTTTTGACTGTGTAGATCCTGAAAAACTATGGGTTGTTCTGAAAGAAATGAGTGCCTCAGCACTAGATTGTCCTGATGCATAACTTGAATTGTGGACCAGAATATGGAGAGACAGAATGGATTCCTAGAGGCAAATGTTTCAGAGAAGGGTGAATTTTATCCCCTTATTTGTTCAGTCCTTACGCTGAACACATAATGTGGAAAGCTGGACTAGATTCAGATGAAAGAGGAAGAAAAAGCTGGTGGAAGAAACATCACTAATTTAAGATATGCAAATAATACCGTCTTCTGGACAGAAAGCAGCAATGACTTGAAACAACTTTTAGCATAAATGAAATAAGAAAGTGTCGAAGCAGGCCTGCAGTTGAACTTTATGAAGACAGAAATCAGGACTACAGAAGAACTAAATGGCTTTAACCTTGACAATGAAGAAACAGAAATAGAGATTTGGTATCCCTTGGTTCAGTCATCAGTCAAAACGGAGATTGCAGCCCAGAAATCAGGAGAGTAGGAAAGGCAGCAATGAAGGAATGAGAAAAGATCAAGAAGCGTAAGGATGGTCACTGGGGATCAAGACCAAGATCATTAATACTCTTGTTTTTTTAATCACCATGTATGGCTGGGAAATCGATCAATCAGATCCAAGCAGATCTGACAGGTGGTTGCCTAAGTTTCTCTTGAAGGCCTCCAGCGTTGGAGAGCTCACCACCTCCTCTTGAGATTATTGGTTCCATTGTCATACTGCTCTAAGTAAGGATGGTCACTGGGGATCAAGACCAAGATCATTAATACTCTTGTTTTTTTAATCACCATGTATGGCTGGGAAATCGATCAATCAGATCCAAGCAGATCTGACAGGTGGTTGCCTAAGTTTCTCTTGAAGGCCTCCAGCGTTGGAGAGCTCACCACCTCCTCTTGAGATTATTGGTTCCATTGTCATACTGCTCTAACAGTTGAGATCTTGAGATTACTGGTTCCGTTGTCATACTGCTCTAACAGTTGAGATATTTTTCCTGAGAGTCAGCCTAAATCTGGCTTCCTGTAACTTGAGCCCATTACCACGTGTCCTGCACTCTGGATGACGGCTGGATAGCTCAGTGGCTTAGGCTTCTGGCCACGTGTCCTGCACTCTGGATGACAGCTGGATAGCTCAGTGGCTTAGGCTTCTGGCAAAGGTTGGGAGTTCAGTTCCCCGCTTTGCCTCCTTGATAGGGGATGGGCTGGATGATCTCCAGAGTCCCTTCCAGCTGCAGTACCAAATTTATGATGATGACTGAGAATGGATCCTTTCTTTCCTCTGTAGGACAACCTTTCAAGTCTTTGAAAAGTGCCATCCTATCTCCCCTCCGTCTTTTTCCCCCCTCAAGGTTAAACATGCCCAGAAGGCTGGCGTGGGGGATGGGGTGGGGATGATGATTAATTGGAAGTGTGTTGCTGGAGGAGAACTTTACGGCTACCTGGGACTGCCAGAAAGCCCGACAAGCGGGTCCTACATCCAATCAAGCCTGAACTCGTCTCTGGAGGCCAACGGGAAGCTTGTCCTCCTTTGGGCCCATCCTGAGCAGACAGGGTTGTCTGGAAATCACCCTAAGGCTGGGAGAGGGAGCAAGGACGGCGGGCAGCAGGGAAAGAGGAGGACCTAATATGAGGGAGGCCAACAGGAGGCTTGCGCTCCTTTGGGCCCATCCTGAGCAGACTGGGTTGTCTGGAAATCACCCTAAGGCTGGGAGAGGGAGCAAGGACGGCGGGCAGCAGGGAAAGAGGAGGGCCTAATATGAGATGGACTGACTCCCTACACAGGAAGCCACGCTCTCAATCGGAGGCCGCTTGACGTCACTCCCTTGACGTCACCCCCTCGCTCCCAAAAGACCCCTCCCCCCTCTCCCGGGGGAAGGGGGCGGAGCGAAGAACGCGGCGCCTGCGTCGTCGGTGGGCGGGGAGAGTGACGTCACGGGGGGCGGGGCGTCGCGGGGAAGTCTCTGTCAGGGTCGCAGAAAGCCGGTGCTTCTCGCAAGCCTTCTCTCTTCTCCCCTTTTCGGGTCACTTTCGCCGGAGAGGCTTCCTCTGGAGGTGAGGTCGGAGGCTGNCCCGGCCTTTGGGTTTCAGCCCAGCCCCCCTTCCTGCAGGTGCCTTTCCTTTATTTGCATTTATTGATGTAAAGTTATGCGCATTTATCTATCTACATTGATTTATTTAAATATATTCCCATGCCTTTATTTCATTTGGTTTACGTTTATGGGGGATCCTCCAGCCTTTATTTTAATTTATTGGCATGTATTTATTTCGATATGTTTACATTTAGTGATTTAGCCGCTTTTATTTGAAAGTATTTAATTGTTCAGGATTTCCGAGTTCCAGTGGTGGGCCGTTCCAGGGACGCATTAGGACCAAAAAGAAAATGCCTGCTTAATTTAGGTCAAAACTCTCGGGGGTCTGTTATCTAAACCTCTCGGAGAGGCATTTTGGCTCCCTAGAGTGGGGAAAGCCACCAACAAAGGATATAGTAATTGTTATTTATATATTTATGACTTATATATTTCTATACCACCACTCCAGTGGGGGAAACCCACGGTTGTGTGTGTGTGTGTGTGTGTATGTCTGTGCTCTGTCTGAAGCTGAGAAGGCATTTTGCTCTCTCTCTCCCCCCCCCCATTTGCCAATTAAGTCTCTGTTTTATTTTCATTTTTGCCAGATATTTGCAATCCCCCCCTTTCCCGATCTTCTTGCAAAACCTACAGGGAGCGGGAAGTTCATCATCCCAGGGAAGTGGGAATGCTTCCACAGTGCCATCTTTTCTTCTGGGTTTCCCTTCATGTTAAAAAAAAGTGGGGGCGGGTTACTTGTATAACTTTAAGAAAGAACACGTGGGAGGGCCAAAGGTGAGCCACTTTGACCTTTCCCTATATCCAGGTATATTCTCACAAATGCTGTTCTATGACCACCCCTGTAGAGGCTGCAAGGAAGAGGTGGCTGGTGCTCTCAGGTTAATTATATATATGTATTATCAAAGATCAATATCCTTTCCAGCCTTGATGTTTCAGGATCATTTCCCCTCCCACAAGAAAAGAAAAAACCCTGCTCTTTTAACGTCATGGTGGGGAGTTTGTCAGGCAGGAAGTGAGAAGAAGATCAAATGAAGGGCAGAGCGGGTAAGGGAAGGTGACTGGCGAGATTGATCGATCTGGTGAGGTTTTTATTGCCGTTGTGGGTGCCGTGTTGGCTCCGAGAGGTTAACCGGGCTTTGGAGCCGGTGTGAAGGATGGCGGTGCGTGCGTGGAGAGTGCAGCCGGGACTTGGGCAGTGGTGTCGCTAGAGGAGACTGGGAAGTGAGGATCTGATGCAACCGGAGCAGAAAATGGGGGCAGCAAATGAAGTAACACACGGATGTGGATGATGAGAACGATTTCTCGCCTAAGGAAACTGGCAGAGGGTGGGAGGGACACAACTGGTAAATAAATCTTGGTTTGATGTTAGTATTGTGAGACTGAATACATTGGCCTTCTTCCATTGTGGAGTTAAACGCAGGGACGTGGCTTTCCTTATCAGCTCCAAAGGGTTTTCTTTGCAGTAGAAGTTTACAGTAGGTTTTTAACTTTTCCTTAGAACAACCACTTCTCTCCCGTTTCTCTGGCTCTTATCTGAATCATCCGAGAGAGTTCCTCTTGATAGGGCCATAAATCCCTGCTTGTCTTGTTTGAAATGTTTCGCCTGTCCTTTTACACCTAACAAGAGTGCTTGCATTTGTGAAAATGACAATTTCTACAACTGGACCAATTTACAAGATCCAGTAGTGTAGAGTTCTGGAAAGCAGAAGGATGGGATGGTTTGTTTGCAGCTTAGGGCTCAGTGGTTGAGGTCTCTGGCTGCGAAGCTGGAGGTTGGGAGTTCGATTCCTCCACGGTGCGTCCTGCGAGTAGAGCCAGCCTGGGTGGCCTTAGGCAAGCGGCACAGGAGTCTCAGGATGCCCTCAAGAAGAAGGGAATGGAAAACCACACCTGAGTCTTCTCTGCCTGGAAAACCCTGGGTCACCCTAAGTCACAGTTAACTTGACTTTACATGATGATTATTAATAAATTATTGTTACCAGAGCTACAACCTGGGAATGTTTTTGTGTGTGTTTTTTGTTTCTTTGTTTGTTTGTTTAAACTGAGCTGCCAGATTTCCTCAGCTAGTATTTCTGGCTGCTGGGACTCTTGCGGTCATAACCCATCACATGAATGTGCCCAAACTCTGGCCAGAAGTGAGCATTAACCATAGAATCATGGATCTGGAAGTGCTGTTTTAAAAGTTGCTGCAGGTGCTCCCTCCAGGAGGAAGATAGTCGCCCGTCTCCCTTTTCCTAGACTCTTAAAATCCGTATATCATGCCAGAACTGTGTTCAGCAGCCATTCACCTTTGCTGTGATAAAAACAGGCCAGCCCTTCTGCAGCCATCTTGAATTGGCATTTGATTCCAGCTCAGTTAATCAGTCATTTTTGGCTGGGTGTGTGTGTGTGTGTGTCTGTGTGCCTGCACTTTCCCTCACAGGGAAAGATACTGATTTCACCTGGAGGTGTTGTAATCACATAACGCAAGGGCCAGTTCAGATCAGCTTGGCCCTTCCTGCTTCCAAAGTGGAGTTTTCTCCCCTGCTACTTGGGGAGGGGGGTCTTCTGCGTTTTTCAAGCTGGAGGGAGTGCTGTTTTGTGCAGGAGGAGTCTTCAAGAGACAGACCTCGTAATAATTAGCCAGCTCTCAACTGTACGGTCTTCCTTTGTTGTGCTAATGAGAACGGTCTGGAAACGACACTGCTTTCTTTGGGAAAGCAGACCCGGCATTAATTGGGTTCTCCTCCTGATGCACGGCCCTGCCAGCTTTGAGAGAGTGAAGTTCCTGTTAATGTAGAGTCCTCTTTGCAGTTAAGATTTCTTAGGCATAGTTTCATCCCTTCACACTGGAACGAACTCTACATGGGGTTGCCGCTGGTTTTCAAAAGGGTGTTGCAGAACTGCAGCCAGTGACCGCTTTCTGTTCCATTTAAGTTTATACCTCTTCGACGGGACTGTGCCAGAGGTAAAAATAGTAAAATATATTCTTCCTCCCAAAAGTTTACAGTTTTGAGGAATAACACAAATTGCTTTCCTTCCTTTAGCTCATATTATTTTCTTCTTCCAGCTAACATGTCGTCTGATTCAGAAGTTTCTTACTCTAGCACTGTGGAGGAGAGCGGAAGTTCAAAATTTATCAAAAAGTCCAAAGAGTCTCCGTTTGTTCCTATTGGTAAGTATTTCTGACACTTGACAAATTTTGCTATTACCTTTCTTTATTAATCCAATAAAAACGTATGATTGTTTTTGTGAATACAATAAAGGCTAAAGCAGTATCAACAGGAGATACTCTGGAAATATTTATTTGTTTATTTAGAATTATTGATAGGCTGTTTTGATCCCAAAGCAGCTCACAATGCTAAAGTGGATGGAATTAAAAGCAATGCAAATTACATTTTTAAATCAGTTTAATAGTAATTGAAAGTACATGGCATGATTAAAAGGATGTGTAAATGTTTTAATGGAAGAAGAAGCATTACTTCCTAATTATATCCATTGTTTTATCTTAAAATAAAGTTTGAGAGGGCTAGGCCTACTGCTTCTTTCCTTAGGCATTGGCTTCCTTCTGGGTCTGCAGGACTGATGCAGCTTCCACCTTAGCAAGAATGCCTGGAAGACGAATGAAGTTTAGTGTTGAGGGACAGCTGTAGAGCCATCCGTAAACCAGGTTGTAGGTTCTTTGGGGGAAACGGTAGCCCGTAACTGGAGGTTTTTCATGATCAGGACCAGCAACTGCACTGGGAATCTTATCTGGCAGAGTAAAAAATTAAAGGGATGAACCCAATTCCAGTTCCTCTTATAAACAGGAAGAGCCATTGTCTGAACTCCTATTGTACTAGAGTAGTCCCATTGAATCACTGTGGAGTCGTCTCTAATTTCCATAGATTCTGTTAGTCTACTCTACTTGCAATGTGGGATACCTAGTATGGTGTAGTGAATAGCATGTAGATTAGGGCTCAGGAGGCCTGGGTTCTGATCCTTACTGAGCCGAAAGGAAGCTGCCTGGGGAAGTAGAACAGGTAAAGCCCCTCTTGAAATACAGTGGTCTCCCACATAACAAGCAATTCGTTTAATGACGAATCCGCATAGCGATGTGTTTTTTGCAATCACATTGCGATGTTTTAAATGGTAAAACATCAGTTTGCGATGATCGGTAAGCTGTTTCGCTTACCGATTTTCGCATAGCGATGTTTTTAGAACACCTGATCGGCGGTTTCAAAATGGCCGCCAGGTACATAAAATGGCCGCCCGCTGTGTTTTTGCACCCATTCCTCGCTTACCGGGCTGCGAAAAGGGTGGCCGTATGGAGGATTTTCACGTAACGGTGAGTTTTTTGCCCATAGGAACGCATTAAACGTGTTTTAATGCATTCCTATGGGCTTTTTTTGTTCCACATAGCGACGAATCCGTATAGCAACGATTTTTGCGGAACTGATTATCGTCGTTATGCGGGGCACCACTGTACCTCGGAAGCCCTCTCAGGGTTGCTATATTGAAGGCAATAGCAACAAACTTTAGGGTGACTTCCTGTGTCATGCAACAGGATTTGATCCAGTAAATGAGTGGCCTTCACGAAGTATGTCGCACAAAGCGGCAATGTAATGTTCTAGAGCAAGTTGCAACTAGAGTAGGCCCATTGAAATCAGTAGAAACTATGGAACTGTTGACTTACCCATCCCCACTGATTCAGCGGGCCTACTCTTGCCGACTTGCTACACTGAGCAACAGGATCTTGGCCAGGGAGGTTTACCTGTGTTTTCACTTAGTATCCAGTTATCGGTTCATTAGGTCTACTGTTGTTGGGACCTGCCGTGGGATTTAGGATGCAAGGCCCTTGGCGCACTAACAACGGTGGCCTGGCCACTCTTCCAGTTGCGTGCCGGCTTGTGTGTGCATATGTCGTTTAAACGTGTGGGCTGCTGCAAGAAACTTGGAGGCCCGTTTATTCCAAAGGTGTAGCGTTAAGTGAAATGGGTTAGCCTATAACCAGGAATAAAGAGCAAATCTTTTCACGGGTGCCCTTCAGCTTTGGCCAGGATGCAGACATCATAGGAAAAGAAAAACTTCTTACCCGTTAGAGCCGTACAACAATTGAACCAGGGACCTCAGGAGGAGGGGAGCAAAGTCTTTGGTGGAAACCTCAGCCTTTTTTTTTCTTGGATCCCAGGATTCTGCTGAGGGGGTGTTGCAGTGTTTTACGCTCAAATAATGTAGATATGATAATGCAATTCTGAATGCCTTTTCCCTGTTCTAGGCATTGCAGGTTTTCTAGCCGTTGCAGCCTATGGGATCTATAAAGCAAGGCAGAGAGGAGACACCAAACTGTCCGTGCACTTGATTCACACGCGTGTGGCGGCGCAGGGCTTTGTTGTTGGGGCCATGACTTGTGGTATGTACCAGAATCGAAGCGGGTTTCCCGCGCCGTGCTCCGCGCTGGTGTTAAAATGACTATGTTTTCTGTGAGTCTTTGGTAAAAGTCAAATGGAGAGTGAGGGTGATTTGATTCGGAGTTGGGCCTGCGATGGGCACCCTTGTTTCTTTGCCATAAAGAAGGAAGAGCTGGACATGATGGAGCAGGATTGGCCAGATCATGGGGCATCCAAATGGGCATTGCTGCAATCTGCTTTTCCTCCCAAGATGGAGGGGGGTGCATTCCTTGCTACTTCATGTGCAACTGGTTTGCTTCGTGAGTGTGAAGAAGCTTCCTGGACAGAGAAGGATCTTAGAATTTTTTTGCATGGATTCCTCCTCTATCTGTCTTTCAGCTGCCCGCCTGCAAACAGCTTGCCTGATCAGCTGCCGTGTTCATGGTCCGCGGGGGGTGTGTGTGGAGAGGGTGGAAAAGATGGCAGAATTAGAAACATCCAGAGAAGCATTCTACTGGTAGTTGAGAGCCAACGTCTTGGGTCACACCCTTGAGTGTTTCCAACAACATGCAGAAAATGTGCAGCCCTGGCCATAAAGATGAGCACCCAATTGTGCTACCGACTGTCCCGATAGATGGAACGAAACGCTTCAGTTGCAAAGACAGAGCTGTCCCTTTGTTTTGCTTTGGCAATGAGAGATTTTTTTTAAAATAGAGTTGGGATGCTTAACCTCCTCACTAACTTTCATCCTTTGGTTTTCCAGGTGTGGCTTACGCCATGCTTCGAGAGTACTGGGCCAAACCCAAGGCCTAGGAAGGGGGCCCGTTGATCAGAGAAGCTCCGGTGTGCGCTGTTGTTCTTATGTACTCCAAGGGTAGACCTCACATGGAAATGCTGCTACAGTGCGATGGAGGGCATGATTTTCACGTTGTGCATGAAACGCACAGTGTCGAGTTCTGTGTTGCCTGTGTTCCCCTAGATAGTTTCTCTGTTTCAAGAGAGGCCATAAATGCTTTTTAATATATATATATATGTATAAAGCAGAGAACAACACTTTTCAGCACGCATACACGGCACCTGTGAAGGAGTGGTTCAGAATTTCACCTTGAGAAATTGGTTGTGGCTTGAAAAGACAAGCAAGGAAAGGGGCGAAGGAGGGAACATGCCATGCTCCGTAAGAACAACAAGAGCGATCGTTTCTCTTATTTTTTTTAAACTCCCATTGAACAAACCTTGCAGAACATTAACTTGTTAACATATGAGCCTTATCCATTGATTAAGCTTTTTTAAAATCTTTCATTGTTACAGTTTTAAGTGTGGAGGTTTCAAACCTTTGAGCAAGCACCTTAAATATCTCAAATACACCTCACTTTTGTGGTGTGTGATGTCATGTTTCTATTAAGGGCTCACGTAGCGATAATTTGGGGGTGTTGTTGCAAGACCTTATACTCCAGAGGGGGAGAAAATGTGGCCCTCCAGATCTCCTCAGAGCCCTCGTTTGCACGCACTGGCATTCAGTGACCGCTGTAGGGTCTCCCTTTCTCCCTCTCTGTTGTACTCGGAAAATTCTAGCAGCAAAACAATTGCCAAGACCATTGAAGCAGTAGATTGCGCCAGGTAAACAGCCAAAGGCCATCTTTACCTAATGCCCCCCAAAGGCTAGCTTGCAGGCAAGTCGGAAGGGACGCAATGGCACAAAACAAAGTTAGCCAAAATGCATTGCTCCCGGCTTGGTCGCCTCCCCTCCGTGGATGTGCGGTCTTCAGAGGTTGTGATCCGACTGCATGCCACAGAGGCGCAGTGGGAGACGAGCTCTCGCCTGCCCTTCTGCTTGAGGAGAGGCTTAGGCAGAGCCTGGCCATGCAAAGAGTTGGAGTCGAGCAAAGCTACCCAGGACCTCACTGTTTTCTGAGCAAATTGGCCTCTGGATCAATCCGAGGTCTTCCTTGTGGCAGAAGCATTTTAAAAAAATGTGTCCAGGGCCCAACTCGCACTTGGTGTATTCCCCCTCACTTCCCTCAATCATGCAGTGTAGCCCTTTGTTAACACTCTGACAACTAGTAGACGAGCTTTCAACCGGGGCTACAGTGGAATTGAACATCTGTAGAGTTTTCATCAACCTGCCTGCACTTCTTTGGTTTTTTGTGGTGCTGTGAGAGTCGGTGATCACTGGAGTGTAACCCTAACCCCTGATTCCGATTTCATTAAATAATACGTACGTAAGAACAATCCCCTTGTATCGCAGCCGTGGTTTGTGTGATCAGTTCTTCTGTCTCTGGGTGTTCTCTTCCATTCTTCATCTTGGAAATTTATGTCTACAAAGATGCCTGCTACCTTCATCCGGAGCAAGTTAATCAGAGAGTGAAAGGTCCCCCGGGGGGGGCCTTCAGTTGGGGGCTTGTAAAGGGAGCCTTGCTCTGTGGGCGCAGGCAGAAGTCCAGCAAAATATGTCTTTTTAAAATCTCTATCAAAACCAGGTTTGAATAGAGCAATTTGTAAACCATAGGTAGCTTTCTAATCATGAGTCGGAAAGATCTCTGATTTAGTCCATGACATATCCAGACACATTTGTATTTTATTTTGGTGAGACAGTTTTGAAAGTAATAACATTAAGGAGTTAACTGTAGGCCACGGAGGGGCAAGCAAACATCTTTCTTCTCACTTCATTTTTGGAATTGCATTGCTATGAGGTTGTGAGAACTGTCCAGTTTCCTCACATCCGGGCCAACAATGCAGTAAGTCTCGGGGGAAATGTATTGCTATTAACAGGGCAGGCTCGAGCTAGTTTTTAAATGTTAGAATCTATCATCAGAGCCTGATGGAAATGATGTTTGTTTTTACTTACAAAGAACATGAATGAACCTCATTTTATTTGATAAGGATGAAAACACTCGCAGCGTCCCACCCATAAGGCTTCTCATTACCACAACGTTTCTCCATTTCAAGAAGATACTGTAAGGCGTTAAATACCACAAATCACTGAGAAATTTACCAGGTGGGACCTGGTTCTGCTCATGGAGCATCTCCCAGTGATCCTGTCAAATTTTGAGTTCTAAGTACCGTGTTTCCCCAAAAATAAGATAGGGTCTTACATTAATTTTTCCTCAAAAAATGCATTAGGGCTTATTTTCAGGGGAGGTTTTATCTTCTTCCCTGTACAACAATCTACAGTTATTCAAATATAGTCATGTCGTCTTCTGGTTGCTGCACAAGGATGGAGGGCAGGGTTTCATTTCACTGGAGCTTATTTTGGGGGCAGGGCTTACATTACGAGCATCCTGAAAAATCATACTAGGGTTTGTTTTCAGGTTAGGTCTTATTTTCGGGGAAACAGGGTGGGCACCACATCAGCAATAGGGTGTGAGATTCTGCTTTCCTAAAATGGTTGTGCCAAGTTTTGAAATGCCCCGTGGTTACCTTCACCTTTACACTGCTGCCTATCCAACAGTGGGCCAAAAGATGTACCGTAAACCTGCCAGGGCTCAACTGGGGCCTTGCCAGCCTAGTGGTCTCCAGGGTTTGCTGCACGAGTAAGAATCCATGGAAGTTGCAAGGGAAGCTGTTGAAGTAGCGTGGGCATTCCCTCGGGCAAGGTGGATGTTCCCGAGTTGGCATTCTGAGCAACATGCATAGAATTCGGCAGCTGCCGCAGAGTCGCAATTTCTGTTCTGCAGGCAGTTTCCAGTCCGACGCTCCAGTTTTTCACGTGCAGGAAGAAAGCAAAATGTCATATGGCTCCAGTAAATGCGCCAAACCAACCAGGTTGCAGGCTGTGCACCCCTCTAGACAGGCTTCACCAGCAATGCTTGAACCAGTCGTGATTAGGCACAGGAGCCGACAGCACCCCCCTGTAAGCTCATGTACGCCGGAGCCTGGATGGCCATTCATTGGGGATTCTGTGCCCAGCAGGTGTCGGTGGAGTTAGTAAGAGACCCCATGCAAGACTAAAAAGGCACTGACCGATGAGTGTGGATAGGAACGAGGACAGAACGGCCTTCTCCACAAGAGCACGCTGAAAAAAAAAATTGTCCTGTAAGTTGCTCTGGCTGAAGTCCCTCAGCACCGCCATTACTGGTATATAGTACTTCGACTATGTACTGTACCTTTTTTGGGAGTTCACCTGCCACTGCAGGAATGGGTGAATTTTAACTACTTCCACTCTGCTCCTGGTCTTGACAAAAAGAAAAAGACTTGGGGTTCCCTGAGTGTGTCTATTCTATGGTTGTCTGTTAGGAGTGGTGTGCTGTTTTCCTCCTGCCTGTTGAGGCCAAGTTTTTATTTAAACCAATAAAGTCAATGCAGTACATGAAATCAATGGAAAACGCTGAACGTGTCTAAAGCGGTACCAAACCTCCACTGCAGACAAGGGAGTCCTATAGTGCCCAGAATCCCTTTGGCCGTACTGGTTTGAGAGATTCCGAGAAGTTGGATGCTGAATGTTTTTTCCCAACCTCTGAAAAATAATTAGTATTTCAGGTGTCTCGACTTGTAATTATTAAAAAGAAACCTGGATGATGTGGGTCTAGAATCACTTTTTGGACAGGTTATGCAAGGGAGAAAATGTTCCCTTGAGAAGCGTTTCCAGAGGTGGTGTCCCACCATGGCAGGGAAAATAAAACCCAGGAAAGCTGAGATGAAAAGGAATGGGAGAAAATAAGTACATTTCCCCCCCCGCCGCCTTCAAAAGCAAATGTTAGTCATGAAAGCAGGCAAAGAACATGCTGAAACATTCTGAAAAGCATCCATGAGAATTTCATCGTACTTTGACCTCGGTGTCAGGCTTCCCTGGAATAACATAAGAGTGTGTCTACACGACCGAAATCTGCTGGCTTCTCACTATTTCAAGTGCTCCGGCTCAGTCCTAAGTCATTGTGGGATTTGTAGTTGGATAAAGTACCAACATGAATTTGGCCCAGCTCCGGGAGGCAGTGGAAGACAGGAGGGCCTGGCGTGCTCTGGTCCATGGGGTCACAAAGAGTCCGACACGACTAAACAACTAAAGAACAACAAAGTTCCAATAGGGTCACCGTTCAAGACAGTGCCCTAGGAGCGTGTCCATCTATGCAGTGCATGTCCATGGATTCGCTTGATATCCTGAAACTGGAAGTGCTGGGTTCAAATTCCACCACCCAGTTACGCTTGCCCTGCGTGGGTGCTAGGCCTAACTCGCCTTGCAGGGTTCTTGCCCGGGAGACCAAAAGGGAAATATGTACCCAACATGTCACCTCCTTGAGCCTTTTGGTGGAAGCAGGAAGAGGAACATAACAAACTTGGGTGAGTGGAAGGTCGTGGAGAGAACAGTGGCCTCACAGGTGCTTTGTTGTGATCTTAACAACATCGTATTACTCTTTTTCTTTGCATCCTTACATTTCCACCAGAGGGTGCTCAATTCATGATCAAATGGCAACCCGCCCTGGTCGGCGTTGATGCCTACGCACATCAGTTCAGAAATGTTTTCAGTGGGAGTTAGTTCAGAGGGCCTTGCTTGGATTTTTCTGTATGCTGTATTCAAGAATAACCGTGTCCCATCAAGCAGACACTGACTTAGGATACCTCTTCCAGGGTCTTCAATATATTAAAAAAATGATGACCAGTCCCTCCAACTTTGGTAGCATTTTGGGGGAAGCATCCTCTGGGAGGATGCTATAACTTACCCAAAGCCACGGAGATAGCTAGACACATCACACAGGTGGTCCAGGTGCTCTCAGCTGGCCCTTCTCCCAGAAAGCCCACCAAGGATTTGAACCCCTGCCATGTGGAGGTTCCAAACCGCTGAGATATACGAGCTCATGCTCCTTCTGCATGTAGTGTAAAACATGTAACCCGGGGCAGCCTTCTGAGGTTGGAGGTCCAAAAACAGTGGCCTTTGGTCAAATGAGAACCAAGCTTGCTGGAGGGCAAGCTGTTGTTTGCAAAGTTATATCATAACATAAGGCACATCCTTAGACCCTCCTGGAGGGCTGCCTCTGCTCACTAGGCTCCCAAGCTGAAATGTTCCTTTCAAAATAATATGTACCCTTTAGTGGCCAGATAAACAGGACGCCAGCTAAAGATTTTAATTTCCTTTAAGTCAGGGTGCAGGAGGACAGGAGGGCCTTCAAAACATGTGGTAGCCAGCAGAAGGCACAAAAGGAAGTGCTTAACAAAAATGTGATATTAAAAATTAAATAGTGACGCGTTTGAACCCCGAGGGGGTTGGACGTGGTCTCCCCTTTAAATACAGCATGACCCAATTCAGTTAGGCAGCAAAGGGCTTGGTTCTCAGGGACTCCTCCGTTACTTCTGGCAGCTTCTTGAGAGAATTGTTGCCCATTTTCATTCCCATAAGAGTTCAGTCCCCAGGTGCAAACACATGCTTTTGTGGCACATTCTCTCCCACCTGGCCACCCTCTAGATTTACGGCGCTCCAAATGGCGTCAGCCCTTCAGTGAAAACACAGGGGCTCTCCTGAGCGGAACAGCTCACAAATGTCTTCGCTACGCATCGAATGAGGGGTCAATCCATCCCAGCTTTCTCTTTTTCTGCTGCTCTTGCCAGTATCGTTGTGTTAGCGAGATAATCCTGTTTCGATGCAGGTTTAATTTTCAGAACAAAAGGTGCCGCAACACTCTTATAGTTTGCATCTGTGATCAGAGCCCGTTTTTCCTCAATAAAGACTTCTAAATAATAGGCGTCGTATTTGGTTGCTTTCAAGTTTTGCAAAAAAAAAAAAAAAAAAAAAAGATAATAGGCGTCATATTTGGTTGCTTTCAAGTTTTCAAAAAAAAAAAAAAACACTCAACAAACAGTGGTTGTGGTTTCAATCAAATAACACTCCGGCCAGGTCACGCCGCTGACATGCAACGTGAAATACAAGCAGAACGGAGCTATCCGGAGACTACATGATCTGCAGGATGCTATAGGAGGGTTTTCAAGAAATCCAAGGATATTTGATAACACACTGAAGAATAAATTTCCTCCATGACCTCGAAGAGGGGAGTATGGAAAGTGTCCTATATTCCCTTGATCCAGCATGCAAACATCCTGCGGCTCTTCTGCGGATCAGAGATCATCATCTTCCTCCCAGGATGGGAAGTTGAGTAAGAAGTGAAGAGCAAACCCTGGCCTGAAAGAAAACAGGAAGCGATGAGTCTGTGGCCATTCTTTGACTACCTGTTTGTCTCCTGGAGTGGAAAGACCGTCTTTCTTTCTTAGCCTGTCCAAGACTGGGGTTTTGTGTCCCTCCTTTA